GGTGAACCCGGACCACCTGGACCAAATGGTATATTTGTGAACTGAAATGACAGGAACTTGATTTTTGCTTATTTCATGATCTAAAGTTGACTTTTTTCTTGAGAAATCAGGCTTTTCGAATGAGGAAGATACGTTACTCCCTATTCGATAAAGGGACCGATTACTACTGAGTGTTATTCGTAAGACAAGACGGGACCAATCGAGCTGCCTCCGAAAGAGTGGTTCATGCTGATGAAGATAGGCAACAAATTGAAGCAAGTGTCTCAAAACACGAGGATCCACCAGCACTGCTAGTATTAAGTATGAGTTCGTGTTTGGATAGCGTCGAAAGCTTCATGCCGATGGCCCGAAAAATCTTGGTTGTTAGTGATAACGGCACATCACTACGTACTTAAGGAAGTGAAAATTGATTAGTTCAAAATTGTATAAAGTGTAAATTAATTTAAAACTGTTTACTGAGTTATTGTGTTCAAAATTGAAAAATTCTTTGAGGGCCTGATGGACCAGCAGGGCCACCTGGCGAGAAGGGTGCGGATGCCGAGCATCCCGTGGGCCGGCCCGGAGCAAAAGGTGAACGCGGAGAAGCAGGTCCTAAAGGGCCACCAGGAGTCAATGGCCGAGATGCTCCACCTGGCGCTGGTGGACCACCAGGACCACCTGGTTTGTTTAATAAGGAAATTATTATATAAGCAAAAATTCTACGATATACTTTTAGTGCAAGATTTTCTGTGTGCAGATTAATCGAAACACATTTTGATAACATCACGAGAAAACTGTTGCATACATTTATGTGTGCATATTTTATGCAGTTTTGCATATTTAGGCAAAAATGCGTGTTGAAGAGTTGTCGGTATGTGTATGTGTGTGTGTGTAAGTATGTATGTACGTGCATGTATATGGTGCGTATTTGTGTTTGTTTGTTCACATTTTTGTCATCTGTTTTTAGCTCAACGACCTTCGAAGCTGGGAAACTGAAATTTTTGGAGCATGCTTGCCCCGAGTATACAACATTCCGTTTTTATGCGTTTTTTGCAGCTATGCAATGCAAAAACGCATATTGTCGAGGGAGATGGCCCATGCTAGGAGGCTGGAACTTCACAGAGTTGTTCATTGGCCGCGTATAATCCAAAGATTTTAAATTCAGCCTTCACGCACCCTC